GGGCCTGGGCTAGCCCTTATCTAGGGTATGGGCGGGGAAAGGTGTGGCCACATCAAATTCAGATGTGACCTCAGCGGATGCAGATGTGACCTCTTCCAGTTGTCCCAGTTGCCTAGGTAACGCAGGTACTGGGTGGAGACTTTGCTGCCAGGAGGGTGGAGTCTGCTTGCCATCCAGGGGCGGACCTTACAGTCTGCAGTAGGCCTCTGTGAGGTCTCTGCAGTGCCAGAGAAACTGTCTTTTACATGGTTTCTATTGCACAGCAGGCCTGCTGTACGTATTTGTGGACTGGCTTGGGTGCAGGAACAGCACATTGGTTCCATATTGTGTATTAACTACTCCATTGGTGGTGGCTGTCTGAGCATCACATGGAGAGAGGTTGCAAGGCATCCCTGAGTTCAGCAGCAACCAACACAGGGATGGATCAGCCACATCTGGCTGGCATGGGTGCACTTCTGTATGTGTGTTACTTAGTTATGGCTGCATAACAAATGATCCCTAGAACTCAGTGGGTTAAAAACAAGAGCTATTTATGGGAGGCTCAGAATTTGGAAGTAGCTTACTGGATGGTTCTGCTTCAGTGTGTTAGGGTCACCCAGAGATGGGAACAATGGAATCATTTTAGATATAAAGACACACGAGAAAGGATTTATTAGGGGATTGGCTCATGTGATCAGGGAGGCTGAGGACTCCCATGGCAATCCATCTGTAGATGGAAGATTTTGGGATTATAGTAGTGGTTGTGTCTAGGGAAGAAAATGGTGGAATTTTCCATTCACAGCCGAAGGCCTGAGACGCTAAGGGATGGATAAGTCCTGGAGTCACAAGGCTGGAGAGCCTGTAGTTCTGATTTCCAGGTTATTGGATTTCCAGAGGCATGTGAGCCTGGAGTTCTGCTATCCAGGCATTAGATATCCTTGCTTCAGGAGGAGACAGGGAAGTCCTTTTTTTTTTTTTTCTTTCCCTGGAGCCCTGATAAAAAAATGGATGATACCTGCCTACATTCAGTCAACCTATGTAGAGGCCAATCTCCTCTGGAAAGACCTTTATACCCCGAAGTCATGCTTTACCTCTTCTCCAGGTGTTCCTTTATTCGGGTTAGGCTGGCAGCTAGCATTATGACTGTTCATGATATCTAATCTGAGGACCCACTGGGGGCTGGTGGGTTGGCTGCCTCTCCAGGGGGGTCCTTATGGGCTTGGGGTCTGGCTCCTTATCATGCAGACCTTGCCTGAATATCTTGTCTCCCCCAGAACAAAATGAAGTGGGGGGCACGGGGAGAACATTGCCATGTCTTCTCTCACTTAGTTACTTCCTACAGAAGGGACTTCTTGGGATGGGTCACAAATTCCTGTTCACATCCAAGGGGTGGGTGATAAAACTCTTCAAGGACAGATATATTTAAAACCTAGTGAGCCTCTTTTAAAACCACTACCTAGGCAATGAGGGTATACGTGTCACCTTTTGGCAGTCATAGTCAAATGTCATCTAGGAAAGGCCCAGGAATGACCCTGAAGAGGTGGGCTGCAAACCAGACTTGTTTGAGGTGTGGGAGGGAGGGCAGGAACTGAAGCCAATGAATATCAGCTGGTAGGGTGACAGGGTGTGAGTGTCGGGGTGGGGGGGGGGAGATGCAGGGTGCCCTGAGGCAGGTTTCCCTGGGAAACAGTGCACAGCAGATGTAGGATGTAAAGGCAGATGCAGGAGTTTTACATTTCTTCCTGGCTGGAGCTCTCCTGACTGCCTTAGGCAGGGGTAGGGAGAGCTGGTAAGGTTCATTTCCGCCACTACATTAGCGCAGCCAGACTTTCTCTGCCCATCGGCTCCAGTGGATGGCAGCTGGCACGCAGCCAGGCGTGGGGTGGATCAGCCCTAGACACCAGAGCCAGATGTTGTTTACTGCTAATACCATGGTAACCTGCCCTAGGTGGTCTGCCTCAGGTGCCCTGGGCAGTCTCCCTAGCTCTTAAGTGGAAACTGGCTGGCCTTGGTATCTGTGCTTGCACTTGCCTGCTTCAAGGCAGGCTCTGTCTTTCCTGGGAGCCTGGCAGTTCCTCATTTGTAAGATGTATCATCCATACGATGCTCAAATTTCTAAATCTAAAGTTAATCTGATGTGAACGAATGTGAGACTGACAATGACAGGCTGGACTATTTGTTACTAAGCCTTGATGGAAAGTCCATCCTCTCCTTGCCCAGTGACCGTGAGCAGCCCCAGGCTGGTGGGGCTGGCCAAGACACCCCTACCCATAATACTCCCCAGCTGTCATAGTATAGCCTGGCCAGGAGATCCTGACTCTGTCACATTGTATTGGGCCGAATGAGGACCCTGGCCAGTGCTTAGCTACTCACAGTGGCATTTTGGAAACATTACCCAGTAAACTGGCTTCCTGACTCTACAGGGCCGAGTTAGTGGAGAATCTCTGTCCCATGACTCAGTTATGTCCCTTGATCTCCAGCTTCCAGGAACCCCAAGCTGAAGGCAGATTGCTGAAGATTTAATGCCCCCTGGTCTGCTAGGACCACTCTCCTTGTTGTTCTTCTGTCCCCCTGATGTTTGTCTCCTTGTGAGAGAACACCTCACCTTTACACACACACACACACACACACACACACACACACACACACACACACAAAACCATCCAAGGCTAGAGAAATCTGGGTTGACGGTAATTAAAAAGCACATAAGTAGTCATTTTAAAATGCAGTTGTTTTACTTAATTGATTTTGCTTGCAGAGCCAGAGAGAGAAGAAGAAACAAGGAAGCAAGCCTTCGAAAGGGAGACAAGTTTCTGGGAGTGGCTGGAGGCAGCTGAGGGCCCTACTTGAATCTAATTACTGCAAATGCTGCAGTTTTGTTTTTTTTCTTCTGCTAATGGTTTTCTGCTGAAAGGGGGGCAGGCAAGGCCTCACTGATTGGAGGGGGTAGCATTTGTTTCAGCTACATTGGAGGGGGAATAATTCTGCTTGTGGGACAGGGTCTATTTTTCTTTACTATCTATCAGCATAAAGTATTTCCACAGCACACTTTGAAATCAGCTTCCATTTAGACATACTTTATTCATATTTAATTACAGGCTGCAATACTGATCTTTAATTACCTTTTTTATAAGCTAGCTAGGAACATCCACTAGCAATCAATTAAGGTGTGTGCGTGCACGTGCCCGTGCGTGCATTCATGCACGTGTGCTTGTTTGTGTGCGCACAGAAGGGTGTTGGGGGTAGGAATTGCTTCCATCTAGAAAGGGAAAGGATGATTGCAGGCATGCTGGGGCAGTGGTATGGGGTTCTGTCTGGCTGGTGCCCTGTGCTGAGAGAGGGGTGCAGCCTCCTCTCCCCTGCCTTCTTTGCTTCCACTAGTGAAACTGGAAATGTGGTCAGATCCTCCCAGCTGGGCCTGGTTTGGGGTACTGAGTTGGCAGCTGGACTTGGTTGGTATCTTGGAGGCATCCTCAATCCCCTAGTGTGGTGGGAAATTGTGTGTGGTCCCTTCCTGCCCCTGGAGCACGTGGCAGCGAGGCTTCCTCTCATCCCAGCGATTAGGATCTGCTTGCCTCAGCCCTTTCCTCCTTCCACTTCCCCGTGGGGTGCTCTTGGCAGCTGTTCTTGTCACACAGCCCTTGCAATGCCATGTCACTCTCTAGGTGCAATGACTCCGCAGTGTTCCTGCAATGACATGAGGTTGAAGGTTGGTTATCCTCCTTGAACAGTGAGCTGATGTTCCCAGGGCTAGATAGAGGCTGGGGGTGACCCCAAGTTCCTTCTGCTGAAGGAAGATTGGGCCATTCTAGCTGCCGGGGCAGGGAGAGGGGTCAGGCCCACCGTTCTGCTCCAGAAACACTCTCCTTGTTGTTCTCGTGGAACCACCAGGTCTCCCCAGGGATGGTGTGGAGCTCACTGTGTAATGGCTGGGAACAGGGCTGAAGCTCTTCCTTCTGTCCCAGAAAAAGAAAGGAAACTGGGTGGAACCTGCTTACGCACATACGCTATCTTTCTCTCTCTTACATTTGTGCTATATTAGAGCTTCAGGAAATGGAAAGGATTTGAATTTCAGTCTTAGCCATCATTGAGAAATGTTTCTATCTGACAGAATATTCACATGTGGATCACTTGGTTGTCACCACTTTTCTCTAAAGAAAATTAGTGTGGCACTTGAAAGAGAGAAGAAAAGAAAGAATGACAGAGAAGGAGGGAGGAATGAAAGAGGAGGAGAGGGATAAAGGAAGGGAGGGAGGGAGGAAAAAGAGAGGGAGGAAGAAAAGAAAGGAGAAGGAAGAACAGAGAAGGAAGAGGAGGAAGGAAGGGAAGAAGAAAGGGAAAGGAAGGAAGGAAGAATGGAGGCAAGGATGGAATAGTGAAGTTTACTTTCCACCTCATAGAGAAACCGAGGCACATAATGGACAGGAGATCTGTTTGAGACCGCCTTTGGAAGGCATTATAGGTGACTGGCCAGCAGTCTTGGAGTCTCTACCAGTGTGGCCAGGCCAGGAATAGCCTCAGGAAGTCATATTGAGGGTTTACTCAGGACAAGAGGTGGAGGTTGAGTCTAGAGCCTCTGGCTCAGGCCTCCTGAGCTTGCCCTGTCAGTAGAAGTGGAGTTTCTACCATCTGAGTGTATTACAGGCCTCTGTGGGCCTCAGTTCAGTTAGCTTTTAATTATCTATATGTGAGAGCCCAGAAGACTCAATGGTGGATAATTAAGTGGTTAGATGATGCAGTTCTGAATGTTTTAGATTGCACTGCGTTGGCCTTTTATGGAGGTGCCCAGTGCCCCCTGTGCATGTGGTACAATGTGCCCTCCATGTGTCTTCTGCCCCACCCCTTCATATGCCTGGAGTGAGTAGCAGAGAGGCTGGCCAAGGCGCTAGGTTGCCGTACAAATGATAAAGGAGAACATCTGTTATGGGACATCAGTCCGCTCTGGCGCATCTTTCTGAGCCCTTCTCACTGAATTGGTGCATCATCTTCTCAGTTATTCTGCCCTCTCTCCATCTCGACAGATCCACGACTTGTTCCTGAGCTTCGATGACACCCCTCTGGGGGCAGCCTCCCTGGCCCAGGTCCACAAGGCAGTGCTGCGTGATGGTCGGACAGTCGCCGTGAAGGTCCAGCACCCAAAGGTGCAGTCTCAGAGCTCAAAGGACATTCTCCTGATGGAGGTGGGCACTCCCTTTGCTCCTTCCTTTTCCCTCAATCTCTATATCTCTGGGGTCCCGGTGGCCCAACTCACTGGCTGAAGCTGGCAGGCAGAATGTGGTCTTTGAGCAGCAGGCTGGGGGCTAACTGGAGACCTTGACTGGGCAGCGTCATGAGAACTTTGACCAAACCATAAAGTGGGTCAGTGATTGGTTTTGATTTACCTCCAAGGTCCTCTGAGATGGTTTCAGAACATGCTGAACTGTTGGTAAGGGGATGGGGCAGGGAAGGGTGGAAATGAGATGAACCAAGGTGGTATCCTTGGGGGCAGAAAACGTTCCATGATGATTTGTTAAATTGCAACAAAACAAGCATGTATAGAGAGTCACACCATTTAGAAATATTTATTTCGATTGTATAGCTGATGTATGTTTTCGATGAACAAACTTAACCTGCCTTGTGATGGATCTGGGAAAAGCCCCAGAGGCCCTAGTGTACCTCTAGATTTTTCTTTCATTTTTACATTTTTTTTAAACTTTTCACATTTTTTTTTTTAAGTTTTATTGTAAAGGTGATATACAGAGAGGTTATAGTTGTACAAGTCAGGTAATGAGGATATTTCCTTTTGAACAGTGTCACCCTCTCCCTCATTTTCTCTCAGTTTCCCCCACCTAACTGGCCTCTAGTTTCATGTGTAGACTAAAGGAACAAGAAGGAGCCATTCTTGTTAGAGCAGTAGCCAGCACCCCTCCCCCCATGCCTGCCCTGCATGCACAGGGAGGTGACCAAATGATTCAACCTGGCACCATGTCTTTCTCCTTCCTTTTCTTCCTCCCCGTCTGTTCCCTTACTTTACTGTGGATTCTTAGCTTATTGTCTAGTCACTAAACACATGGATTGAGATCTCTCCTGCACTGTGTTCTAAGTAATGAGTGAGCAGTGTCATCATCTTGAGAGGAGTGAGAAGACAGGTGTATAAACAAACACAGAGTGAGTAGGGGTGTGAGCTCTGGCAAAGGGGGTTACAAAGGGCTCTGGAACCCTGTGCTTGGTTGCATAGGGCCATCCAGAGGAGTTTCATGGGGGAGGGGAGTCTGAGTGAATTCCTAGGGAGCCCATGGGCTGGGCAAGGACAGTCCAAAGAAGGTAGGTAGGATGACCAAGGAACCCGATTCCAGGCTGAGGCTTAGAATCCATACAGCCCTCTGTATCTGTGGGACAGAGCAGATCTGATTTCCTCCTGTAGTCAGTGGGGAACTATTTAAGAATTTTAATCAGGGGACTGTCATGATCAGATGTGCATTAGAAATACAAATCTGTTGGCAGTCTGGAGGATGTATTGGAAAGCAGAAAGCCTGTAGCCAGGAGACTAATTGAGGGGCTGCTGCATTGGTCTGAGAGAGAAATAATGATGTGAAGCAAGGCAGTGTAATGGGGTAGAGGAAAAGGATGGGCTCAAGGGGGTAAACTTATCAGACTCGTGACCAGCTTTTCGTGGGGGAAGGGAGAAGGACTAGTGTGAATGAGGCAGAGGAGAGGGCAGTCCATTTAGGTTTCTGACTTCAGTGATGGAATTTGGATGCCCTGAACCATGTGTATCAGCCAGTATCTAGTCAAAGGGAGAAGAAATTGCTCTGAGTATCTCAAACAGAGGGAATTTGGAACAAAAAATGAAGTGTACAAGGGATGGAATTAGAGAGACCCCCCCAAATGGGATGTTGAGATAGCTCACCAACAGCAGGAAGCCACCGCCATTCTCATGGTGGAGGAGGTGAGAAGGACAGGTGGTTTTCTGGATCCGCGCGTGGTGGGCGCGGGGTCTGTGGTGGGGGCTATGTCTGTGGTGGGTCTGCCCAGTGGAGCAAGTTGGAGCCACACCTCTGGTATTTGTGGTAGAAGGTCTTTCCTTTTTCAAGTCCCCCATATTCCATCGGTGTCATCCATTGGGCCAAACCTATCCAGAAGCAAGTTAGCAGAGGAGCCTGGGAAGTGTAGTGTCTTATCAGGGGATGGAGACTGATCTCAGAGCAGAGTGAAATGAGTGATAGAGAAGCCATGGGTTAAGATACTTCTGTGGGTGGTTTTGGATAGACACATTCTTGTTGGTCTGGAGTTTGGGTAAGAATACACATTCAGGAGTTAAGTGCAGAGATACTCACGGTGGCTGAATCTAGGGGTGTGTTGAGGTCACTTAGAGAAGGTGTGTACACCACCTTGCTTCACATTTTTATTCCTCTCTCAGGCCAATGTAGCAGCCTCTTAGTCTCCTGGCTATAAGTTTTCTGCTTCCTAAATACATCCTTCAGACTGCCAACAGATTTGTATTTCTAATGCACATCTGATCATGACAGTCCCCTGACTACTGGAGGTTAAAAATAAAAGAGGGGGCAGCAAACGAGACATGAGGAGCATCATTTGGGGTGTGAGATAAGGAGTAGGAGTTTCTGAAGGAGTTGGAGGAGGTGTGGTCAGAGATTGGAAGACCTGGGATTGAGCAAAGCTGATACCTTTGATGAAGAGTAGATGTACCTTTGAGAATGAGTGTCAGTCATTCTGTCCTACATAGAGAACTATCTTGAAACTTGAAACTAACTTGAAACTATCTTGAAACTATCTTGAATTATCTTGGTTTAAAACAACAATCAGGAGTTTTGCTGGTGAGTCTGCACTGATTAGGACTGGTTAGGACTTGGTAGAGAGAGTACAGACCCAGACGGGGTAGTTTCATGGGGCTGGAGGATATACTTCTAAAGTGGCTCACTGACATGGCTGGCAGATTGGTTCTGGCTGTGGACTAGGGCCTTAGCTCTTCTCCATGTGGCTCTTTGGGTTTCCTTACAATATGGTGGCTAGGTTCTAACAGCAAGTGTTCCCAGACAACCAGGAAGGAAGTACCACCTTATAGTTTTGTGACCTGGCTTTGGAAGTTATATGTAATTCTTCCTTAGTTTGGGGGCTGAAGCTGACTACCTTTTGATAGGTAAACCACAAGATGTTATGGTTCGACTTTGTCCTCCAGGTTCGTGTGTTGAATGCCTGGTCCCTAGCTGGTGGGGCTACTTTGGGAGGTGATGGAAACCTTAGGAGGTTAGCCTAATAGGAAGGTGGTCACTGAGGGTGTGTTTTTCAAGCATATACCCAGTTCACAGTTCCCTCTCTGCCAAGAGGTAAACCGCCTCTTCTTCCACATGTTCCTGGCACCATGATAAACTGCTTTACCAAGGACTGTGGACTAAATCTCTGAGACTCTTATCCAAATAAATAATTCTTCCCTTTAAGTTGTTTATGTCAGGTATTTTTGTCACAGTGATGAGAAAGTAGCTAATATACCAGGTTCTAGAAGCATACTGGAATGACAGTTCTGTTATAACCATGTTGGAAAATAGAGCTTTCCAGAATCACTCAACATTTGTAAAGTGGGAGATGAAACCAGGTGGGTGATGAAAAGGATATTTTGGGTTTGGTAATTTAGAGTTGTTAGGAAGAGCAGTTACAGGGAGTGAAGGAGGATTGAGACCCAAGCAAGGACGTGGGAACACAATGTAGAATTCTCTTGGGTAATGTTGAGCTGTGCAAGATTGGGAGACATAGCAGAGCATAGGCTTAAGTGTCAGGGAGACTCGAGCAGGCTTAGCAGACGGGGAGGGCACCGGAGACTCAGTAGAGGGACGTAATTGCTAGATAAGTCCAGGAGAAGAACCGAGAGACTGGACATGACAGACTCAGTGGAGACCTCCTTCGATGAGCCTTTGTTCTTGAGGAAGGCAATAAGGCTGAGCACAGATGAGTGTTGTGGGGCAGAAGGAGAGGAGGGGAAGTGGGCAGTGGAGTATGTACCAGCCTGATAGCCTCTATTTTTTTCCTCTGAAGTAGGAGGCAAGATCATCTGCTGAGAATGGGAGGGAGGAGGTGGCCCTGGAGGCCCGAGGGGGTGAAGGTTTGGAATAGCTGCTGTGAGTGTTGCAGAAGGAAATGACCGGATGAGGGGACGGGAATTGCTGTATAGCACTGGACGCACCTGGAAACCTGAGTATCTACAGAACTGGTTGGTTTGTAGAAGGACCATCGCTAAGGGCGAACTGGGTTGTCAGGAGGATTCCTAGGTTTCCTGATCACAGGAACCTGCCTGCCCAGCTGTGCGCCAGGGCCCCTGTGTCATTTTTCTCTGTGCAGAGGCTTGTTGGCTCCCTAAATAATGGTGGCCATAAGGTCAACAGGAGTAAAAAAAAAAGGTCTGACATCTTCCTTCCAGAAATAAATGCCATATGCTGTCCGCAGGAAGCATGCCTGGCTTGTGGCTTGCACCTTAATACTTGAGCCATGACTCCAAACCAGCTTTTTGCTGGTTATTTTGGAGATTGAGTTTCACAGTTTTTTTCTTTTTTCTTCTGTTGGGCCTGGCTTTGAATCTTGCTCCTCTGGGTCTCAGCCTCCTGAGTAGTTAGGATCACAGGTGTAGAGCATGGGTACCAGGCTTCAGTGAGATGTTTGAGTGTGAGGAGGTGGGGGCAGGGGACTATTGGTTGTACTAGTTAGGATGCTTTCAGTCCTAAGAATCTGGAACTGCAACAAGAAGTGGAATAGATAGAACCACTCCATATTATTTCTTGGGTGGAAATGTCTGGAAACGCGTGCTTCCTTATGGTTTGTAAGGACCTATGTACTCCTCCTGGGCCCCAAAGAGTTGCATAATTCCTGGTGACATCCAGATGGCAAAGAGGACCTTTTTTTTTTTTTTTGTCCATCATGAGGCTTGAACTCAGGGCCTGAGCGCTGTCCCTCAGCCTTGTTGCTCAAGGCTAGTGCTGTAACATTTGGAGCCACAGTGCCACTTCTGGTTTTCTGGTGGTTGACTGGAGATAAATCTCTCATGGACTTTCCTTCTTGGGCTGGCTTTGAACTGCAATTCTCAGATCTCAGCCTTCTGAGTAGCTGGGATTACAGGTATGAGCCACCGGTGCCTGGCAGAGGGCCTGTTTTTTTTTGTTTTTGTTTTTTGGTTCTCCTCTACCACCCCCCCCCC